GTGAGGTTGATTAATGTTTACCTTTGAACTGGCTCCGTGTGGAGTGAGTGGTGTTTGCATACCTGTAGTAGCTGATCCGCTCCCAGACTCAGGAGATGATGGTAAGTATAAAACATATTTAGAGTCAGTATCCATATCAACAAAGAATAAAACCAAACAAAGAATGCAGACCAGAAAAAACAATACAACTGCAACACTAACTACCCTATACTCAGAAGAAAGAAGAAGGACTGTTATTAATATTGTGTCAATATTAACAACAGCAATATCTCCAATATAACCACAAACAGTGCAATGTCCTGCAAATACTGACAGCAAATTAACAAGGCAAGAAAATACTAGAAAGCAGAATTTCCAGTATGCTGAAATTACAAACAGTGGATATACAACATCACACAAAAAATTTGCATAAATTTAAATTACATATATAGTATGAGCACAAAACTACTATGCTACAAATACCACAATAGAGAATGATGGAAAATTGCAAACACAGTGACAGTGAAACTAGGCTAAAATGTCTGAATAGCAAAATGCATAGAAGCAATGGATATACAATATCACACAAGAAATTTGCATAAATTGAAATTACATATATGGTATGAGCGCAAAACTACTATGCTACAAATACCACAATAGAGAATGATGGAAAATTGCAAACTCAGTGACAGTGAAACTACGCTAAAATTGTACAAAATACACAGTATACCTAGACTAGTGATGGCATGGGCCTACAGAATATAAGCCTACAGAATAAAACAAACAAAAGCAACACTGCAATACTTAATTTCAGGTGCAAAAACTATTTTCAAAAAAAAAAAAATCTAGTTGCTAAAAAATGGATCTAGCACGAATAATTAAATTTTTTTTTTAAAAAATTGCTACGCATTGACACTAATGCACAAATCACACACAAGCAAATGTTTCATAAGATATCAAGTACACAAATGCCTGCAAGAAAAAGTTGCACACAGCTATATCAATTGCATTAAATTATGCATCAATCAGTACATAAATAATCTATGCAAAAAAAAAAAAAAAATACAGCATATCAGTCACATCAAACAAGGAATAAAATTATTAGGCACTTATTAAGAGTTCAATAATAATAAAAGTTCGGTCTTCAACTATTCAGTTATTTCAAATGCAGAAACGTTCAAAAATGGCAATGACTGGTCACCTCACAGCTGGCAGTTCACAACAGCAGACAGCAATGCAAAACGCGTTGTCTTCAGTCACAACACAGGGATCAATATAAACAAGAAACCAGTACCATAGCCTCTCCAAGATAATCAGGAAATCACAATCACGTCAGGGTCACCATTTGTCACAGGTCTCACTGGCGGTGGGGGCCGGAACAGTGATTTGCGTATTTTGAGTGCAGTGTTTACGCAATTTACGGAAAAACACACACACAAGAGTTCGAGTAATTGTGGTTGCTGATAATAATCTCGGATCTTTATTTTCATTTAGCCTAAGTAACAACAGATCATAGAGAGGTGAAAAAGGTCACACAAGCAAGACAGTGCAATTGACATGTGAGGGCGCTAATCCGAAATAGTTAGGCAAATGCCCTGTTAATGAATACACAAGGTTTCTGGATATAAACAAACTCAATTAGTGTTAACAAAGGGGGGATATATTTGAGGTTCAAAGAACCTGGGTCACATAATTATCAGATTTCACTGAAACATTACAGATTTCATTGAAACTTGGTGCATAGATGCTCTCGGATAATGCTAATAATCACCCAATTTGCATACACATTTTTTTTTAGCTTTTTCTCATCAGATTTCAATGAAACTTGGTATATAGATGGGCCATAAGAGAGATAAGCCATAAATATGTTTATTTTTGGGTTAAATTGTATGCTTACTTATTACCTAATTTGCATAAATATCCAGATATTCTGAGTACACTCATCATATTTCAATGAAACTCGGTAAATTCGTTTTTTTTGGGATTATCCTCAAATCTGATTATTTCAGGGTTGAAATCCATGCATATTAATTATCTACTTTGTGGAACTGGACCATGGGATCTCATATATATCTATAACATGCAACTATTGTATAATAAAGACATATGACAAAAGATGTGACCATATATAGTCATGTGACCTCGTTAACGTACATAACTGCAATACATTAAGTACTGTTGCAGATAGGAACATGCAATCAATATTATAATTGTGTTGTCGGACAAGATATATATGACCGAAAAGTCATTATATATGGGCATTATTGCATTAAATATTTATAATTATTATACCACAGCCACTTAGAACTATCCGTTGTAACGAATTGTCTGTTGAATTATACCAGAACAGAAAAATTACAATGTATATTAGTTTGTTATATAAACGTATGCATCGATTTCCACGCATTAGTGAGCAAAATTATTGAGATGTCAAACTCTGTAATACCGTGTCTCGGATTATTTATTTTTCTCTAAATAGGTCATACAATGAGAACAATTTAAAGAAGTACAATGCTCAAAATGAGATGTTGGTTCTGTAAGCAAGCATATGTTATCTAAAATTTGCCTCAAAATTCAAACCTTTTTGTTCCTGATACTGTCGATCACTAATGTAATCAATCAATAATATTATTGATTTGTTGTAACAATTGTCAAATTAAATATACTCTAATCTGCATATGAATAATATTTTTTTTATATTCACCGTTTATGTAACTATGAGAACACAGATGGTTAACTGAAAGTACCCACTAAGTATGACCACGACCCAGCATATTAGATAACTTAAACATGAACGTTTACTATCAAAATGGATTTCCTAGTGCAGTTTAAATATTGTTGTAAATGATGTACTATTTATACAATTCTATCTTCTGCTGCATGGTTTTGGCGCTTCCGTTTCTGGAAAGAAAAAAATCAATTAAATTATTATTTTTTCAGTATACGTTTGATAAAATAGTGACAAATAAACAACCCTCAGTACGCACGAGGTGTGTATAGTTTTCACCCATAATGCATCACGTTAAATCCTCGCCAAGATGGCGCCCGCAAGATGGCGATCCCATCGTTAGTACAGTAATGTGTATTCATGCTTACCCCAAATTGCGCATTCAAGGTGGCATTCTTCTTCCGTTTTGAAGTTATTGTCGTTACCATCGCAACCACTCCACTCGAACGTCTCACATTTTTTCGTCTCACAATTGTAGAAGTACCTTTCAATACTGTCTTCGCATCCACCCTTTTCAGCCGGCATACAACAAGCATCTGATAAAGAAAAAAATATTCACTTGTAGTTGAGCATTGTGAGCATAGACATCCGGGCGTTTTCACTGCCTGGCAACAATCACGGTGAAAACAAAGTCCGAAAACTTCCAAAAAAACTGTACTTTGGGACAGTTGTTGAGACTCTACTGAACAGTGTAACAATATTGCCTCTACATGTGCAACATATATACATTCGGAGGCTCAGGATTACTTCAGAGTTGACTTTGTGATGTTTTCCCGCCTTTTTCACCGGCTCTTCGGCCGGCGTTCCACAGCAGCTCGTGCAGAATCCATAGAAATACATGTTACAGTGGTGGCCGGCGCGCAGCGCTTGTTCAAATTTCGTGTAAAAATAATATATTTTACACGTGTTGTATACTATGGGACCGATATCAAACACAACAAAATTGAATGCGACGACCACCGTGGCCACTCTTTAAGTAATCCGTTAAACAATATGGTAAGGTTCAGGGTAGGGTAGGATAAAATTAACCTGTCTCACGACGGTCTATATATATATATACTGTAGAATACTTTATTTTCGCTTGGAATTAATTTTCCTTATTTTCGCTGAAGGAATGATTCAGTGAAAAATAAAATCCAGCGAATATACCCCCTTTCCTATATTTTACATTCAACTCGTCAAAAATCAGTGAAAATAAATTCCCTACAAAACTACCCAAAAATCTATTCAGCGAAAATTAATTCCAACTAAAATAAAGTATATTTTACAGTATTGCATTTTAAAAACAATAACTCGTTTAAGATGATAACTGTGATGCCTCGATGAAAACTTTTGAAAGGGCGCCACCTACCGTCACAATCGACCAACTTTCCATCGTAATACCAATCGGCGCAGCAGGTACCGCACTCATTGGGTATGCATTCGGCATCAGGATAGACCGTACACGTTTCTCTTCCACACAGATCAATGCCTTCACAGTCCTGTTTGTCACATGATACAGTTGTCTCAGAAGACTCCTCGGATGACGACTTTTCTAATAATATTAATAATTACAAATATAAATAATGATAATGACAATCCTGGTAATAAAGTTTACACGCGGATCATGCTTTTATGTGCGGAATATTGTATACGAATACGTCACTGCGAATACGTCACTAGTGAAACTACTAGTACTTTCAGAAAGACGTGCATACCTCCACAGTCTAAAATAGCTCCATAAGTGTCGAAGAAAAAGGCAAAACATCCACCGCAATTATTCAAACTGCACTTAGCATCGGGGTAAGCTGGGCAGGTTGCTTCATCACAAGGGTTTGAGTCGCAGTCAACCGGGGACTCTCCGTTGACACACTCGTCTGGCACGGGTTCATAAACACTTGATGAAGAAAAGTCCATGTCTATTACAGAAAATATGCATAACATATTATATGCCAGAAAACAAAGGAAACTAGTAAATAAGGCAACTATCAGTCATACATTAAATACTATTATGTATGCTCAGTTATTGTACGCTGGGAAACTAATTATTGAATGAACAGATGACGAATACACTGTTCCTATAGGTCGCGCCCTCTCGCGGCGACAAACACGGTGACGTAATTAGGTTCAGAAGACATCGTTAACAGAGTCGAATATGTTATGATCTGTAGTCGTCTTTAGATCAACTATACTGTTTTAGAAATATGTTGTACTTAAATGACGTATTTCAAAGCCACCAATCAGTGTTGGCTATTTGAACGACATCTCACACGTCATCAAAAAGTCTGGTCGCTAGAGTGCGTGTTTCACAGGAAAAGCGTATTCGTTCTCATGACTACGTTACTTAACGGTATGCAAAGGAACACAGAGAGACTGCGTAGTTTATTGACAACCTGACGTAGAATACTAATTTATTTTTACTATACACAATGAAAATGAAAGTGAGCTGGATGTTATTAAAATATTACCGTCATCATCCATTGGCAGTTCGCAAAGATATGACTTCTCTTCGGAACAGGGTCGTACCTCCCACGTAAAGCTACCACCTCCATGGGGGCTATAATAACAAAAGTCATGTTTGAAATTGTTACCATTAAAGCTGCGTGTTTCTTGATCCATGGATACAATGAGATGGTAAATGGTGTATACGGTTTGGAAAATGTTAAAATGTCTAAACAATTTATTTCAGTGTCTAACTACTTAGATAAAACTTCACTGTATTTTTTTTAGAAATTAATTGTTAACATGGTGTAAATTTTTGTGGAGCCAATACAGAATTTAACATAACAGTCTTTATCGTATGAGAAACTGTGACATGCGAGATCTCCTATTTTTTTCAGATGCGGCATTCGATCCACAACAAGCGATATCTTTGGACCCCATTGTTATTATTTTTTATCCGTTGTTAAAAAATAACAACAGCCCATAGAGGGGTTCCACAGATAATATCATTTTTCTGCAACCTTACTAGACGTAATCTTTCGAAAATTCGGAAAAATAAGAAAAATGGACTGATCACGAAAAAATACAGACGACTTGTATCTTTTGTATGTACCTCCAGTGGCACCGACTAGGTTTCTAGCCAGTGATGTCGATGTAACTAGCTGTATCATTAGAATTACCAGATTTACCGATCAGAAATCAGAAATCATCCACCCGATTTGCAAATTGCAATTTTATTATTTATTATTTATTTATTGATATAAGGAAGATAACTGGTATCACGATAAATATAAATGGTTATTTATTTTATAAATGCTTGGAAATTTGGGAATATGTGTGATTTATATGTAATCGATGAAAATTTTCCAATAGCAGCACTGGTAATTGGGTTGGACAAGATATTATATATTTTGTGGGATGTTTTGTTTCCTCCCTTAAGCGGATTAGTATAGTGGAGAATAATGAACTGAAACATGTATTAGTGATTTTTGTGGTTTCGGAGCGTGAATAATTAAATTTAATGATGTATGTTTGAATTATATTTCCAAACTGTTTCAATTCTATATTTCTGTTATTATGCTGAAGGATAATGGCCTGTACAAGATCGTAGCCGTTCCGCCCCAAAGACGTCGATGTATTCAAGTTGACTACAGCAACCAACCACACGAGGTTCATGTGATTTCATAATACCGGCTGAACGTTTGGGGCGCTATATGTTTTCTTTGCGCGAATACAAAGTTAACAAATTTCATTGTTTTTATGTGTTTTTAAACACAACAATACTATACAGTAATCACAAACTAACATATATAACTTCAATAAACATATTTAAATTTTAGGTTATGGAACAAACCTTACCTGAGAGCTACACATTTACCTTCACTCTCTTTTGTTGGAATGTCGGTACCATGCCAATAACCGACGTCACTTCCGTCGGGAAACACAAATTTTCCATTCTCGTTCATGTCGTTGGCCCCTAGCCAAAATTCCCGGTCTATCAATTCTTCGTCGCCGTCGAGAAAATCTTCAAGCTCGTGCTCTACATCAGTATCTGTTATTTTCAGAAGCATACCGCCCTCACCTTCGCAGAATTCTTCAGCGTCCGGCCAACACATCACAGTCTCTACAATGGCCACTTTTATCACGTCCCCGGCATATGGATCGCCCATCTCTAAATATAAAGAGTATTGAAAGTCGCGGGATAATAATAATAATAGGGTTAATAATTTGTTAACCTTTTTTTAAAGTAGCGCCCTCTAGCGATAAAGCGCTTCTTTGACGTAATCAGTGTCAACATCAGTTTTGATGTCGGATCTGTGGGCGTCACATAATCTTGTTGTCGTTAGAGGGCGCTAATTAAGGAGAAGGCGCATTACGAGAGGTTATACTGCGACGCATTTCATTCACATTTTCCTTCAGTAAACACACAGTGAAATTTAGGTTTTTGAAGTAGTTTGGTGACTGCTAGAAGCGGAAATCTTCTCATTTGAGGGCAATATTACTGTAGGCAAACCTTATTATAATTTTTTCTTTAAATTTGACAGGATGTTTTTGTTTACAAGTTCATGATATGGCGTCATGCATAAATTATGTAAATCAACTAGTAAAGAAAACCTTTAAATGAATGAAAAACTTGACATCTCGTTTTTCAATTTGATATTCAAAAAAAATAATTTCTAACTTACTGCATTTATATATTTTTATTTAATATATTATTATATTCATTTGTCATATAGTTGTTTTAGTCAGACGATATGTAAATTTCCATTTTTGTTGTAATTTGCATCTTTTTTAGAACTAGCATAATCAAATATTCAATATTGACAAATAAATACTACACACTATATAGTATTCGTTTTATGAAAAATGAGGAAGACTAATACGCATGCGCAGTGATTCCGTTCACAAGTATATCAGAGAATTTCATTGTTTCACTCAACGACATATTAATTAGTGCTACAAAAATAGCGTTTTTAGTTCATAATAATTCATAATAAGTGTGAACTTACGTCTTCTGGTGACAGTCTTTGTTTTGAGAATCTACAGGAAGGAATACATATAAAGCATTATTGATTTTTGAAACAAAGTACAGTA